ATCAAGATGATAAAACATTTTTCGACGTTAAGCGTAACAGCAGTACACTCATAAAAAACCATTTTTCCATCCCAAGAAGAGCATTTTTGTAAAAAATGCTTTTATCTTCGTATACGCTACGAATTGTGGGTGTTCACTGAACTAAAAGAAATACTTCAATGTCAGAGGTTCTGAAGTGTTTATCTTCGGTAAATGTCTTGTCTGCTTTGCCTGTTGTATCCACATAACTACAAGGAAAATATGTGTAGCTGTTAGTGTTTTCATTGCTGTTGTTGACCACTATGAGATCACATCCAACTCCAAACGGTGGTCCCCAACCAGCATTATGGCAGACAGCATATGGACTCTTTTGTAGATCAATGTGATACTTTGTGGGTGAAATAGTGTGCGGATTAGTCAGAGTGAACAGAAATGCCGATGCATCTTCTTTGAATACTTCTTTCCATCCTCTATATTCACACTTCCACGGCACTCGTGTATATCCTCCAAACAAATATCCATCCTTCGATCTGATAACAGTCACTGTTGCACTTTGATCATCAGATCGACCATGGAAATCTTTGACACCAAAACTGTGTACTAGCTCGATAAATCAACTGCCACCGCTGACTGCTCTGTCCATAGAACTTATTCACTTTCAGCTGATGTTCATCACTCAGTAGTGACGTTCCGTCGAACAACTCGACAAGACATTCGATCGCATCTGCAATGATCGAGATCTACTCCATGAACATCTCTATCCTTCGCCATCTTCCACGAGAATGAAGGACTCTGAGAAACATATCGAAAAAGCGAAAAGTGAAACTGTAGATCTCGAGTAGATCTCGATCATTGCAGATGCGATCAAATGTCTTGTCGAGTTCTTGGCGATGTGATACGTAGTGCTCCTTGCAATATCTGTCAGAGCAACTATCACACTTGATTATACCATTCTTTTTACATTCACCAGTGGAACATTTATAGGTCGTTAACTGAGCCATGATGTCACCTGAATGCAAGAGAGAAAACAACTGAAAATATTTGACGTATTGTATTCACTACTTAGAAATAGAAGTTCTCTTTCTTAAATGTGCTGATCGCAACGTTTGTGTTTGCACATTTACAAATGAAAAGAGTTGAAAGATTCGCTTCGTTCTGTTTGTTGACACAACGACAACACAGAACATATTATCTGTAGTGCGAGTGTGTAGGTGCAACAGTCACTGTTATCAGATCGCATAATGTATTTTTGTTTGGAGGATCTGTACCAGTACCGTAGAAGAGTGATGGAGGATGGAAAGAAGATGCATCGTCAGTTCTGTCCACTGTAACTAATCCACACACTATTCCACCAACAAAGTATCACACTGATTCACAAAAAAGTGCAGGTACTGTCTGGCATCATGCTGATTGTGGACTATCGTTTAGAGTTGGATGTGATCTCATGGTTGTTCACAAGTGCAATGAAAACAGTAAGAGTTTTTGTCAACGCCAACGCTAATTGTGTTCTTCATTAAGCCTCTTCACCCAAATCGCAAAGAGCGATGCTTCTTAGAATCAAGATGTTTCGGATTTTTCATCAGTATTACTACCGCAAATCTTTAAACCTAGTGTAATCAGAAGGGCTCTTGTTCTTTTCTCATTGGTTACAGGTACAATTTGTTTTTTGTATCCGCCACTGGGCAGTTGTCAAATCTCAGTGACATCGCGCATAACGATCTTAACATTAACGATCGTATTAGTAGGAGTAGCACATTGCAATAATGCTAAAATATAAAATGTTATAAGAGTAATGGTAATGGATGACTGATATTGTTAATAATATTTTATAGGTTAGTATTACAAATAACACTAAATATTGAACAATATTACGGACAGTCTTCGATTCATGATGCTAAAGAGAGATTTAAAAGTCAAGTGGAAATACATAATATTTTATAGTTTCTGTGTTGTGATAACAGCAGGAAAAATATCATATTTTATAAAAATGAATTATAGAAAGGTATTTTCTCTCTTTGAATCATATGCGTCAACGCGATGGTGGTTGATATGCGATTCGGCTCAAATTAAGAAATGGATAGAACGTACAAAGCGTGTTTGAAACACATACTTAAGTAAGATTAAAAGCTATGTGACTGAGATCTTCGCTCTCCAAAAGAGGTTGACGATCATGTCTTTTTATTTAATCAGATTTATCTGTTGCATCCTTTCAGAGATAGAGAACCACCACAATGCCTATTGTGTTCAGAGCATATGTTAGAAGACGATGTATGCAAACTCTTTTGATTTTTCACCAAATAAGATAGTACACTTCTGTTTCAGCTAGTTGCCGATCATGACTTTGAGCGCGATATGGAGCAGCTTATTATTGAATGTAAAGAAAAGGAGAATGGGTATGAATGGATTGGAATATTAAAATATTACGATGCAAGTATTTCAACTGCTGTGAGCTCCTTTCTGTTCATTATATCATCAGTTTTTTCAGTCTCATTTAAACAAAGGCCATGCCACATACATCTGCGAGTATCGTAATGAAAAATTTTCAACAGCGAATAGATGAGCATAAAACGGCAACATGTATGAAAATACCGATACAATGCCCAATGGTCAATCATGGATGTCATGAAAGAGTAAAATTTCCACTAAAGATGCTTTTAGACAAAACTCTAGTAGGCTAAAATTTGATGTTTCAGGTTATGAGAAACGAATTTGGCATGCATCTGCAAAGTGAGCAACATCAAAGAAGTTTACTGGTGTTTTGTGAGAATGTACAACAGTTAATGACTGCTTTAAACAAAACAACTATACTTGTTGCTTCAAGAAATATGGAACATGATTTATCCTTTAATTATGAAACTTTTGAGTTTGCATCTGCATCTGCATCATGTGGGTTAACTGATAACTCAACATGTGTTAATGATTTGTATGCTAAGTTAGAAAAATGTTATGATACATTAACAGTACGAGCAGCTCACGATGAGTCGAATCAAATTAAACTGTCGATCAACGAAGTGGATACGTATTTAGCTGAAATAGCATCTAATCAAAATATCCTCCAGCAAGAAATGTTAAGTATAAAACAAAAAGTAGAAGAAATAAAATTTACTTCGTATGACGGTATGCTGATATGGAAAGTAACCAATGTCTTACATAAAATTGCAGACTCTCAGTCGCGAAGACAAACATCAATTTATTCTCCGCCATTCTATTCTTCATCAATAGGTTAGAAGATGCGAGCATCATTATATTTACAGGGTGATGGAAAGACAAGAGGAACACACATGTCACTCTTCTTCATGCTTATGAAAGGTGATTGCGATGCGGTTCAAATGACCATTTAATTACAAGGTCACATTTTGCTTATATGATCAATCTGATCAAAATCAAAATGTCATTGACTCATTTTATCCAGATATAGAGTCATACAGTTCTGAACGTCCACAATCTGAAATGAATATTGCATCTGGCATACCAAAGTTCTTTCCATTGTCGATAATTCAACAGGACGGACATTCCTGAGGTGGGACCGATTTGGTTTGAGTTTTTCGTTGCTCGATTCGGTGCTGTTTGAGAAAATTTCGATTCGATTCGGTTCGGTTGCCGAAAAATACGAACCGAGCCATCTCTGTTGGTTATATGTTTTTCAAAATGAAAATCTTTTAATTGTTTGGTAGTGGAAACCTCGAGGTTTAAGCCTTACTTGTATCTGTGTAGGCCATTGTAATCGTTGACAATGTTCCATTCCCTGTGTACTCCATATCAATTTCATCCATTCAAGTGGAAATGATGTTTTCGACCAACAGGATTCACCGTAGTTGTCGCTCACACTCATTGTCTGATTCCCTATAATCGAATACCGATCGCACATCATTTTCATTCAACGAAGCTGAGATAAACATTTCTTATGACTACAAAACAGACTGAAAATACTCATTCATTACAATTCAGTTCAAAAAGATACTGCTACAAAAAAGAATTTCTCTTTTACATTCTATTTTATACATATTGACGAATATATAACGATC